CCTTTTTTTTTTTTTCTCAGTTGGAGTCTCACTTTTTTGCTCAGGTTGGAGTGAGTGGCATGCTCGTGGCCACCTCAACCTCAACCTGCTGGGCTCAGGCAATTCACCTCAGCCTTCTAAGTAACTGGAACTATAGGCGCACACCACCATACCCAGCTAAATTTTTTATTTACTGTAGCGATGAAGTCTCACCAACTTGTCCAGGCTGGTCTTGAACCCCTGGGCTCAGGTAATCCTCTCTCCTCTGCCTCCCAAAGTGTTGGGTTTACAGGTGTGACCCACTGCACCCAGCTGGTTCCTTCCTTCTTGATTGCTTGTAATACTTTCATTAGGTTAGGTATCAGCTTTTCCTTGTATATCTGGTTGAATTCAACTGAGAAACCATCTGGCTGAGGACTTTTTTTTTTTTTAATCAGGGAGGTTTCTTATTATTGAATCAATTTTTTGACGAGTTATTGATCTGTTTAGGGTCTCAATTTCTTTCTGTTTCAATCTTGGAAGTTACGTGCTTCCAGAAATTTATCAATTTCCTCTAGATTGTCTAGCTTACTTGCATACACGTGTTCATAGTAATCTCTGATAATCTTTTGCATTTCTTCAGGGTTGGTTGGAATATTGCCTTTTCATTTCTCATTGTGTTTGTTGAAATTTCCTCTTTCTCTTTCTCTCTCTCTCTCTCTCTCAATCTGACTACAGGTCTAGCAATTTTTTTTAATCCTTTCAGAGAACCAGCTTCTCAACCCATTGATCCTTTGTATGTCTTTCTGGGGTCTCTATTTCATTTGGCTTTGATTTTGCTTTAACTATCTCCATCTTTCTATCAGTTTTGGCATTGGATCATTCTTGTCATTCCAGTTCCCTTAGGTATGATATTAGACTGTTTACTTAAGATCTATTTTTTTTTTGAAAGCAGGATTTATTGAGAGGACAGAAAAGCTCACACAGTGGGAGGGGACTCGAGGGGATTGCCCAAGATGTCTCTGTTTTCTTGATGTGTGTGTGTGCAGTGTTATAGACTTTCCTCTCAGCACTAATTTCGTGGTATCCCAGAGAATTTGGTATGTTGTCTTTATTTTCATTTGTTTCTAGAAATATTATTTCCATCTTGATTTCCGTGTTAACCCAAAAGTCCTTCAGGAGCATGCTGCTTAATTCCCATGCATTTGTGTGTTTTCAAGAGTTTCTGTTGGTGATGATGTTTTATTCTGCTGTGGTCTGAGAAAATGCTTGGTGTGATTTGAGTTTTTGAAATGTGTTCATACTTGATTTGTGGTCAGGCGTGTGGTTCATCTTAGAGTATTTTCCATGTGCTGATGAGAATGCATATTCTGTGGTTGTTGGGTCGATTGTTCTGTAGATATCTATTCGATCTAATTGGTCAAGTGTCAAGTCTAGGTTCTGGATTTCTTTGTTAGTTATCTGCCTCAATGATTTGTCTAAAGTTGTCATCAGAGTATTGAAGTCACCCACTATTATTGTATGACTGCCTTATGTCCTCTTTTAGATTAATGAGCAATTGTTTTATACATCTGGGTGCTCCTATGTTGGATACTTATATTCATTCAAGATGGATATTTATTGCTGATGAATTGAGACCTTTATCATTATGTTGTGCCCTTCACTGCCTTATTAAACTTTTATTAGTTCAAACTTTTTTGGCTGATATAAGAATAACAAGTCCTATTCTTTTTTGTTTTCCATTTCCACGGAAGATCTTTTTCCAACCCTTTATCTTTACCCTATTGGTGTCATTTGCAGTGAAATGATTTTCCTGAAGGCAGAAGAAGGATGGATCGTATATTTTTTCATCCAATTTGTCACTCTGTGCAATTTGACACTGAATGACATATTCAGTTTGTTCATATTTCAGTTCATTATTGATACATGAGGTTTTTTCCTGGCATATTGTTAAGAAGCTGCTTTGTGGTTGATTTACAAATGGTCTATAAACTCTGTGGTTACCTGTACTTTTGTGATGGGTAGTACTGTTCTTCTGTTTCTGTTTAGAACATCCTTAAGAGGTCCTGAAGGGATGGCACGGAAGTGCCATATTCTCTTAGGGATTGCTCGTCTGGGAAGGATTATAATTCTTCTTCATTCATGAAGTTTAGTTTTTAGTGGGATTATAAATTCTTGGCTTTTCTTTAAGAATATTAAAAAAGGGTCCCCAGTCTCTTCTGGCTGCCATTCTGATGGTCTCCCTTGGTAAATGGTCTGTTCCTCCTCTATAGCTGCCTTTGGGATTTTTTCGTTCATGCTCACATTGGCAAAACTGATTATTATGTGCCTTGGGAGTGGTCTTTTTGTATAATACTCACAGAAGTTCTCTGAATTTCTTGTATCTGCATGGCCACCTCTCTAGCAAGAGAGGGAAGTTTTTTTGGATAAAATTTTGAAAGGTTTGTTCCAGTGTATCCTCAGTTTTCGCTTCTTTCAGGAATGCCAATCAGCCACATGGTCTCTTTACATAGTCCCAGACTTCTCGTAGGCTATGCTCCTCCTCCTCCTCCTCCTTCCTTTCCTTCTCCTTCTCCTTCTCCTCCTCCTCCTCCTCCTCCTCCTCCTCCTTCTCTCCTCCTCCTCCTCCTCCCTCCTCTCCTCCTTCTCCTCCTCCTCCTCCCCCTCCTCCTCCCCCTCTTCTTCCCCCTCTTCGTCTTCGTCTTCTTCTTTTTTTGTCAAACTGGGTTAATTCAATAGTTTGATCTTCAAGCCCTGATATTTTTTCCTCTGCCTGGCTAATTCTGCTGCTAAGGCTTGCTACTGTGTTTTGAAATTCCAGGAAGGAATTCTTCACTTCCAGAAGTTCAGCTTGGTTCTTTCTTAGGATGGCTGGGTCGGTGTCATGTCCTGTACTGTTTTCATGACCTGATTGATTTGGGTTTCTGCCTTCTCTTGGATTTCTGAATAGGTTCCACTGTTTGGGGCTGGGAGGGCCCTTTGTGGGTGTTGGATCATTTTGTTCTTGGGGATGGCAGATGCTTTTTCATTCGTCCTCATCTGTGAGGACAGTCTCTCATCTCATCTATTTATTTTTTGTTTTGTGATTCTTATTTGTTAAAGTTGCTATTACTGGGGTGACTGTTTGTGTTGTTTTCTTACTCAGTTGTTATTTTAAATTATTTATTTGTTTTTCCTTATGAGAGCTTCGATGGTGGGTGCTGAGTGTGGTCTATTGGCTTCCTTTAGTGGCCGGGCCCCCTGTTCTCTCCTGTCTCCATGGGCTGCAGGGGCTGTGGCGGCAGAAGTTTCATTTTGGGGGCCAGCCCAACAGTGACCTCTTGCGGCTGTGACCATGGGGGAAGGCTGCTGCTCAGCTGTAGTGATCAGGTGGAATCGGACAGCTGCATGGTGGCTGGGGACCCCGCCTGGTTGGGAGCATGGGGCTTGTGTCTAGTTGTGGCACCTGTGGGCGTCTGTTCCCCCGCTCCCTTCCTGACTCGCGGTGTCAGAGGCACTGGCCAGGACCTGTGTGGTGACCTCCCTCCTTTGGTCCCCTTGTAGAAGGAGCAGAGGCGGCGGAAAGGATGATGATCTGGGGAGAAACCAGCTGGCACCTCTTCACCCTTGCAAGCTGTCAGGAGCAGGACAAATTCTTTCCTCTGCAGAAAGTGCTTTTCTCTCCTCCCAGCACAAGTGCCAGGAACACTGGCTGGTCAGCTGCTCCAGGACCTCCCTCCCCAGGCTGCGTGTCCTGTCAGCAGGGTGGGCGGGCAGCCAGAGGGGCCCCACGGCTCAACTCTGACACTCTGACACGAGTGTTCAGGCAGGTGTAGAGTGGCTCCCTGCCATCTGTGTGAGTCCACTCCTCCTGAACAGGAGCAGAAGATAGGACACTGCCTTGCTGGAGGAGACTTGGCATTTCTTCCTCCGTCCACAAGTGGGAGGGCCATGGCTGCCCTACTGCCTGTGCCTGGGGAAGTTCTGCTGCTCAGCATCCAAAAACGTAATCTGGCAGTGGTCAGACAGCCTCTTTTCACCTAGGCACCAGGGTTCCTGACTTGCCAGGGGTCTATACCTCCTAGTTCCTGCCCCGCTCTGTGGCAGGGGCAAGGGCAGTGATGGTGGCTTTCGGGGCAAGTTTCATCTGTAGCCCCGAACCTGGGCCAGGACAGGTACCATTCGTACTGGAGAAAGGTCCCCCTAGCAGGCAGGTTGGCCTGGCTGGGAGCTGGAG